TTAGCAGGATATATCATATGTAGTTGCAGCATTCTCAGAATAAACATCTAATAACGTCGATTGTATTCATGAGTCCTATTTTCCGACATAAATATCGCTTTATAGACGTTATTAAGCGCAAAAAAAGCTCATGTACGCAAGATAAGCCGACGTCGTTAAAAAAAACATGATAATTGATAAACTTTTTTTAGAAGTAAAACTTAAAATGTAGCTGTGAGATTTCCGACTCCTGCTTTAATTGTGGCGATAAAGCATGATTGGGATCGTTCATCAAATTTAACCAGGCAATTTTTATTTATTATTTGTTCGCTTGACGAATTTGATAAGGAGTCGATACTCCCACCGTTTTACATTTGTGCATCTTCAGCCCACTTGCAAGCTACGGAGCGCTAAATATCGAGTAACAGTCTAAATTGGGATGACAGAAGATTGTCTTTCAACGTGCTATGTACTGGTTCCGCGTTATTCGATGCCGAAGTTGTTAACCTTTAACATAGCGAAAACGCTGTCGACCGACATGTACGCCCGCCAACTTGTAGAGATGAGAGTACGGATGTTTCTAAAAAAGACTTTTTAGCTGCCATCTTTCGTATTCAAGCTTGGTTTGACATCAGGTCAAAATTTACGCCAAAGTTTTTAGCACTTTGGACTCGTACATCTTGTCAAAATTGTCTATTTTGTGCCTGAAGACAATGAGTGCAGAATGTCTGGTGCCGTCGATCTTATAGCGTTTTATTCACTTGTACCTATTTGATATCACAAATGATTGATACGTGTCAATTTGGGCTATAAAACATTTATACACAAGCCATTATCACCTCATTCTTCAACTGTCCAATTTTAATTTATAAGATTCAATTTGCGTATTTTGCATTTTAAAAGCACAACACAAACCAAATAACACTAACTTTAGTCTTCAAGAACGTACAATATATCTATATTTCTCGCTCAGATTATTTACGTATTGCTTGGATGCCTTTTCGAAAAACTATTCTTAGTCATTTATGTTCATTTGCCACGAAAAAAAGATCAGCTTGTGGCTTTGATTCTTCAATTCTGCGATGTAGGATAAAATCAGACCGTATGCATCAGTATCCTTTCCAGAAAATATTACCTATAATCTATCGAGTGCTTAGGCGCAGTCCATTTATTTTAAATAAATTCTATATTTCCTAGCGTCTATCGATTCATCACAGGAGTCAACTTCCGGCCGAAAGTCATGGCCATATTTCTGACTGCAGAATACGAAGCAATTTTTTAGCCGTAGCTCACCGTGGAGACTCTTTTGTAGATGTGGCAAGCTTGCAGGAGTGTGGGAATAACCGTGTCGGTGGGACAAACATGTACGAGAGAACAAATTGTACAACAAATAGACTGTCATCTTGTGTGCACTAGGCTTTGTGAGGTCGTGTGTCCCTCTTAACACCGCGGAATAGAGGGTTGCATCTTCGAACGAATTCGATGACGGCTTCGTTTTGTCACTCCTACTTGAAGAATTGAAGAAGCTGCAAGTTGTATAATGCTCGTCGTCGATTTCCGTTGCTGGTGTGGCCAGCCCTACATTAGAAATATACATTCAGCATCAAGGACAGAGGGTATAATGTGTGGCATATTGACTGTAGGATATTAAGACGAGGGGCATATATATGCTCGTGATGAATTTCGGGCATTTTTATAAAATAGTCAAATACGATTTTTTTTGTTTTTTATATATTTGGTGCAATTTTTATTTTCGTAATTATAAATGGCATTATTTTACTCCCCATGATAGAAAAATCAAAACTGCAGGTGCCACGAACTTTGCAGATTTTTTGATCTTGATCGCTAAACCTCTTTATGTCTCAGCTTACACAACGACAACACTCTGGGATTGAATGATTAGTCGGTATTTCCATTGTACCTGTCAAGGTGATAGCAGCGATTTAAAGTAACAAATCTCGAAGCTCGGTAGGTCTCGAATATCTATTTGTCTAGATGAATCAGTTAGGGCAAAAACAAACGAATTGTTATCATACTTTTCCTTTACTACAGAATATATTAGCTCTATATGCGAGCGTCATATTATAACGTCACACCAGAAAAGTGACTATAGTGATAAAGTGTTTGATCTAATAAATATCTGCACATAGTATCTTATGTAAAATATGGAACAAGAGGACCGGGAGGCCATGGGTATGTGCATTATGACCTCCATAGTATATTATATATTACGTCTTTCTACCGTCGAACCATATATACCAGAATTCATATATAAATGCCGATGTTACTATTACTATCCGCAATTTGGTTCATTTGACGACCCCAATAAATACAACATGCGTGTGTTTAAACGTTCAGCATTTGCTTACGTTCATTCAATCATCCAGGCTAGAAATAATTGCTTGTGGGCTTCTAGAGTATTGCATATAATGCTTTCAGTCTTACGATCATGCGTTGAAAATAAATGTGCTTGTCTACACAGCATCTTATGCTGCCGTGAGCCAAATTGCATTCAATTATATAGAGTATCATGCATGTGCCGTTCGACAAATGGCGATTTCCACTAACCTTTGTGTAAGACGTTTTCACCGAGACGACAAAACAAATCGATATAGTGTCAAAGTACATGATCTGAATGATGGACCAATATAACCACAAAGTAACAAAAAGGGCTTCATCGACAACACTAGTTACAATACCAATGCTATTATGCACCTTCTTGTGCTTCAATTGAACTGTTAAAAGTGAAAATGAATATATTACTAATCAGTGGCGAACGAGGGAGCATGAAGACATAAAAATGAATGTACAGCATGATTGTGGGTACACGTATTTAAAGCTGAATAAATGTATGTCATCGCTAAATATTATTGATCCGGCTCATTCGCCCTTTCTCATAAAATTAAATTTGTTTAATCCATCGGGGATAATCGTATCGAAAGATTAAGGACATTCGTATTTTCGCGACCATCTATGATGTTTTTATAACGTGTTCTGGCAATTTTTAAGATCTTTCACAGAAAAAAGGAAGAATTTCTGTACAGGACAAATAATTTGATCAAATTTTAAGATGTTATATTTGCAACGACTTCAGATGCGAAGAAGCTAGAGCGATAGATTTACTTGTTGCGAAGACCAAAATTTGTCATCCAAGCAAGCAAGCGCCGAAAGGGACGTTCGTCTCCATAACAAATGCATTAAACCTTTTTACCAATGCATATGTTGCCGAAACAATAGCGTCGCAGGTCCGTATGTATTCCAAGATTGAAGGCGTGATCAAGTCTATGTCGTCATCTGAAGCGTACATCGTGATCAGCATCATTATTAAGGTAGCTTTCTGTCGACAAGAAAGCTTTCTAAACAAATGATTACTTACATGGTGTGTACAAATACGCAGTGCATTTGCAGAGACAGCCATTGATGGTGGTAGAACGTAATGACGAAAAACAAAACAAATTATTAGCACCTACATCCTCGCTCACAGCTGGACTGATGTATCGCTGACCTAATAATTTATTTTGTGAGGCATTCGGCGTGCTACATACGATTAATGTTTCCGATGTTGTTACCCATTTTGGCACCAGTCGACATGCTTAATGCATCCCCCAACATCGCTTTTGAACGTATTTCGTCTAACTTGTGGACCGCGATGATGGACAAGATGAATGGCTTAGGAACAAGAGCCAGACGATTTGAATCAGTGGTGCGTTCAATTCCGATATAAAATCAAGTTATCGTATGTAACGAGCGATTTGTACGTGTTTGTAGACGATGTTCTTCTCGCCAAATTGAGAATTGTTGTGAAAAACGATGTCGGAGTTTGCCATTGATGATACATGAAGTCGAAATTACCAAAATGTTTTCATCGACATTCAGTTTAAGATTCTGTTCAGTGCCTGACCCTATATTGATGATTACTACTACGATGCATGTTACACTTGGATCGACGAAACGCTCGATATTGATTCTTTTAAGACTTGACAGGGGTGTTATCATACGAGCCCGCGGGACCATATGAGTCAGCGTCACCATTCCTTTCAACGATTGTGTATTCACGTAAAAGCGGCGCCGTGCGTCTTTCTGGCGAACATCGCAGGGTGAGAATCCCCCCGAAGTTCAACTCTTCGATTATAGGTGGGAAGGTCAACGCCACACGGTATCGCACGGAAAAGATGTTGCGCAAACCAATGACAGGACCAGGCTGGACACCCATTGCGTCGATATGGTAATTCGAACATCACAGCCAGTAAGATGCGGTTAGCACGTTCACCCTATATGCTCATTCAGCACAGAGCACATCATTTACCCGGTGAACGCGAAGGTGCTTCGCTTCTCACTAGCTTGACCAATTATTATTCAAATTGATGTCGTATTTAGCTAAATTAGGTACCTGATGTTACGTGACTGTTGAGATGGACAAATATTTAGATGATTTGCCACATTTCGCTCGCAGTGGGTGCTCATAAATGATTAATGAATAAAGAGCCTGGTCTTGGTCAAATTCAGGCACGGCTATTACATTTTATTTGCAACCGACTGACTCCGCAATTATTGCACCGGCTCAAGTCGCAAAAATCTGATACAAGCCCATCTCGTTGATGCCGTTTTATAAATTCGGGTCCTTTTTGCTTGAGACATGTTTTCGTTAATTCGTGATCTGTGCTGATCAGAATCAGATAAAGCTCAAAAACAACTCATTGATATGTCTTCGTTGCCCGTCGTTGGTTTTACTACCTCCGACGTGCAACAATCAATCTGGTCCGGACCCTCTATATTCAGCAGAGTCCGTTCACCAATGCACTTACCACGAGGAGGCCAAAATGCTGGACACAGAGTCGGACCCACTGCGCTTATGTGCCTCTGCGCAGCCGCTTCTTTGCGTTGTGACACATCACCTTCCGCCACTTGTCATCCTATGCTTCCGCACCTATGAAACTTTGTCATTTCCAAACCTGCAGCCTGCGCGAGAGAGGTCCAACTTCCTCTTCCCCACCTCACTATTCGCACCTGTTGGTTGCTATATGATCAAGTGCTTTCTTTTCCTCGCGCTTGCGCATGTAGAGTACGGAGGCGGCGGCGCCCTTCTTGTTTCGGCTGCCGACATTCTGACCAGATCAACACCGCTGATCCCGGGCTATGACGATCAGCCAGGATTCGGCCTCAGTAAAATGATTTCTGTCGCCGACGTCTCCGATGCTGCTGATGGCGAGGATAGGGGGTTGCAAGAGTTCTATTTGACGATGAAGGAGGTCTTTGCTCGTTTTCGTTCAAGAGTTACAGAATGGTGTCGCAGCATGGGCATCATGAAGAAGAAGAACGTTAAGGCGACGTTACAGGAAGAGCTAGAGCCTTCGATCCCCTCCCAGACGAAGCAGAAGACGGCAAATCTCGTGCAAAAGCTGGACCGCAAGTTCCCGGCCCAGTCGAAGAAGCTTCGTGGCGCAGCTATGCAAGTGATGAAGAATGGCAGGGCACGCAAATTTGAGAAGGCTCGCGCGCGTGCTCAACTAGGGATCAAGAAGGGCGTATCGTTCGATCAAATGTTCAAGAAGCATGTTACACCGAACGCATACGATATAGAACTTCTGCCAAACCATGGGGTGACGAATCCGCTTAACGATCCTGGGTATGATCATTCCAAGGCACATGTGAGCGCATACCGGACATATTACAATGAGCGGGTTCGGTTGGAGAAGGAACGAAGAAAAAAGCGTAGATGACGATGCTGAGATGGGACATCCATTTGTCTACATGCGGTGATGGCGCGTAGGATAGATTGCATGGTGACTGCACAAGGGAGTATAAAACTCGTACTGAAGTTTTCTTGATTCGATAAACCTGTTTCTTTTGCTGCGTTTTTAGCGATAAGATACATGTGAAGCGATACCTTTTAGGAATGGATACACCTATCGATGCAATAATTGGCCAAGGACTGAATGGGAAAGCGCCAAACACGTGAGTAGATGCTAATGAAGGTTCAGCATATAGTTGATCCAGGCCATATCATTTCGGTGAGCTGAATTACAAGACGAGCCATGTCGTTACAACATGCAATATGTTTACTTCACAATGTGATTTAGACCACTTTTGCACGACCACAAGTAGAACCCGTTGTGTATTTCTCACCATTTTTAATATCTGTCTTGCTCGATACGTCATGTAACCTGGATGACCTTCGTGCAGCTCATTTAGCTCTCGCAATGTTGCAATTTAAATTAACAGATAACAACTATCTCGCTCAGCTGCGCGGTCCAACGGCGTATCCTCCATCGTCATCATTCAGCTTTGTACTCCATTGAAAATTTTGCATCAGCTTAGTGGCTCTGACATGTCCGACGTTGCGTACTATAAACATTGCAAGACTGACACTTTGGCTGGTTTGAGTAGGCAACCTTGGTTTGAGATGTAGTTTGTCGTTGTCTTCCATATCAAAATATTGCTGGTATATGTGCTACCATCAATAAACTTAGCGCCATCACTTCGAGATCATTACTTCAGTGACCATGCGGTGTACACGCATGTGAGTGCGAGCTCTTATTCTTTCTTGGATGCAGAAAAACAGAGCGGCAGCAGTCAATTTCAATTTGTCTCAGAACGTGGAGACTGTTGCCGTCGAGACTGTACTCCTTTCAACTCAGAAAGCCCCACGGGTCACACCTTTTTCAGCTGTATGTGACACATTCGCACAGCAGAGCAGCGATGTCGCATCCGTCGAAAGGTACAAACGATTGAGTGCACATGACCTTGCGAACAATGTACCCCGATGCAGTCACTTTGAGCCTGTAAACTTTGGCGACTGCGTCCATGACGGTGCGGTGAGCTCAGTCCATCCGTTCCTGGTCCTCATACTACAAGCACTACACTCCACTCTAAGTTGCTGTCGATCGCTTTATCAGCGAATCGGTGGCGCTGTTTCGGATCAGCTGAGCTACGAACATCGACATTGCAGTTCATGCGAACGACATTTCTACGACATATGGATGATGACGGCTCGGTAGAGAGTTGACACGGCTGAACGACGATCGCCACTTGCCGTAAAGCGTTGAAAAGAAATGCAATATTGTAAGCTTTCGGGCAACGCAAAGCGTTCGTGAGAAGTGGCGATTGCGTCTCGTCTAGCCGACAAAAGACTGACTGCATCCATGGAGCAACGTGAGCTAAAACACAGTGCCGTCGCTCTTGATCTTGATGGGAGGTCCACCGTCTGTGCGTTTCTCGCTCGCAATGACTCGTCCAGCCTTCCAAGTACCACCTTCGAGCATCTACATGGTACATACAAATAGGCCATCATCACTTGATAGCACTACAGGAGAACATACATGAATTCACCTTGACCAGCGGGAAAATCTCGGCAGTGAAGTTAAGACGCTCCAAGATCACAGTGTGCAGCTCGTCCAAGAGTGCAACAGTGAGAGCTCGCCATTCGATGATCATCTCAGCGCTTGGGCTAAACTCGTCGGTAAGAGTGCTTGATGACTTGGGCACGAGCACACCGAAGTCCACCAGAAGTCCACCATTGCGATACTCGGGCAACCCTACCAACATTACGTGTCAGAAGACATGAACTCGTATATTTCAAGTGACGCAGTGAATATAGTAACGGTGAACACCAACGAACCAGTCATCAGTTGGAGATCAGTTATCGTCAACCCGGCGTTCTGAAGCGGCTCCAGGAGCGAATATGTCAACCACTGCGATAGCTTGTGAAAACTCACAAATCTGCCTGCTTTTTCGTGTTCCGGTAAGTAACTGGTCGCAAAAGTACCACGACTTCCATTAGTGCCATTCGGACTCGTCATTGCGAAATTCCCCCCCCGTCATTGAAGCCTCGCACGTACGGTAACTCCCACACGTCACCCATGTTCTGGCCATCAATGCGCGTCCGGCTCTCGGGCCAAATGTCCTGCAATCCGTAGACTACCACCTTCCACAGCTCCGTAATCGATACTTCTCGACTGGCGCTTTGGCATTTCATCAGGTAGTCCACCATATTGCCAGGCCGAATCGATCCGTCAGTTCCTTTGAAAAACTCTGGGTAGTTGGCTATGCTCGTCCCTAGACGCTACATCATGCGGTACACCGACACAGTGTCAGCGGGATGGGGCTAATGAATTACGTGCTCGCACATGGGCGAAGGAATCAGTCACGGTCACCATTACCTTGAGCAGATCCGTGCGTCCACTACAGCCGAGTAGCGGATTCGTCTCTGTCTGTTGATTTCCAGTGGCGCAGACAGACACACATCAGAGTCAGACCATGCCAACCTCCATGGCATACACACACAAAAGTGCCTCTCACCACTTGAAAAGCTCTAGCAACTGCATCGTCTGCCAGGTGCGTCAGCGCTTGCGCGTCCACTCGATGGGGCTCGTGAGTCGGGTCGGCGGAGAAACAGCCGGCCAGGAACATGTGCAAGCTGGCGACGCCCAGTCCCTCGCTGCGGCTGTAGCAGTCGTCCGTTTCAGGCTCTCGGTACCGCCACGAAGAGCCCGCGCCGGCGTCCAGTAAGACGCTGACGAGCGCCAAGTCGACCAATCGTCGCGCCCTTTCCAGCTCGTGGCAGTGCCATGTTGACGTCATCTTTTCCACGCGCTGCGGATCGCCCGTCTCAAAGTGGCGCCAGCGCGAGTGGAACGGGACGAGCGCCTCGTTCGGGTACGACTGCCGCATCACGCGGATGACGTAATCCGCCAGCGCCGGCACTTTCGTCCCGACCACTGCAAAATGGGGCAGTTCGGTCCTCTTGGGCGAGTCGCAGGACGCGGTGGCAGCTGTCGCGCACGGACGGGAGCGAGCGCAGATACGCCACTTGGTCGGGAGGGGACGCGGGCATTGCGGACGGACGGACGGACAGACGGGAGGGGCGGAGAGAGAGAGAGAGAGCGCTCGATGGATTGACAGCTCGAGACGTTCTTGCGATCCGAATGCGTGGCGCTTCACGGTGAGAAGGGCAGACGTCCGCTTGGAGCCAATGGGAACGCGTGAAGAATGGCGAACTTCAAGTCGGGTCAGGAGCATGCGGAACGCGCATCGCGTTGACGGAGACGTAAATAGAGTGGAACACGGAAAAATTGTGAAGTCATTTGTTTCGGTGACATCACCGAAAGTTGGGAAATAATTTCTGACTTCTGTAGAACGCCTTAATATTTAATTACGGTTGAGTGTATTAAATAATGTGAGATAGAATCGAATATTAGGTAGGAGGGGTTGGGTAGTCACATGGTCTACCTCGCTTGCCGAACGTCGGGCCGAAAACTTTTAATCACTCCAAGGGGGTACTGGCGAATAGGGGGTTAGCGGATAGGGGTTCTACTGTAGTCTAATGCACAAATTAAATTGGTCAGAATGAGGCATGGTCTCTATCACTACAGCGACCAAACTGAAATATTCAGAAACTGACATATACTACTCCTTGCAAAATGTCTTTTTACAAGTTCGAGGTGTACCGCACCAATTGACTACGTAACGCGTTGTAAATTGACTCGACGATAAGAGGGTTGACGTTAGGAAGCCGCTATCTACCACCTACTTTTCGCTTGTCACCACTCTCCCTTTATTCAAAAAATCACACGTACTGCTTACTCTAGCGCTGTCATTACTTAATTAAATATAAAAATATAATACAGAAGCGCAAATTTTCACGCGAAATGAATAAAGGAGATTTATAGGTACACACCCATCCTTTGATAGGTACACACCCACCTGCAATAGAGGCCCCTCCTTAAGTACCGTATCCTTCCTAACTAGGCACCGCACACTTATGCATACAAAATGCAATATAAATACTCTTTGCTTTGTACACACCCCTCCGTTGTACAGGCCTCTTTTGTGTCAGCGCACAGTCTTCCGTATGGATCCGCTCTCATAATCCGGTACACCCTCTATGAGTACCTATCATACGGCCATTTCCCATGTTTAAAGATCAATAATTTTTTTGGATCAAGTATTAAGCATACGTCTTTCTGGTTCTGAAAAATAAAACAGTAAGATTTGCCACTGCTTGCTGCCACTTCTTACGTTCTTTGCTTCTGCATTCGATGATGCTGCCTCGCGCTGAGGCTAATACCAAGTTTCAATATTGTAATCTCCCGATTTACTATACATTGGTGCAATTGAAGTCGAACGATTTAACAGCGCTATCCACGTGCTTCTCATCAGGCATTATACATTCATGTTTCGCTTCTGTTTTATAATGAGTATGCGTGCAATTTCAGGGGTCCGTTAAAAGAGCATGGCACCGACCCAAACAGCATAAGATAGCCTAAGGCAAAGACGGTGGTAATAAATTTGGAAAGGGGGTTGTAGTCATAGCAGCGAAACCGACGAATCAGAGCTGTATGGCGTCATTAGGGTTAACGATCTCGCTAAGCAAGCGACAACTCGTTCGCATTTATTCAAATGTCTCTTCTTTAAAACCATGGCGACATGCTCAAGCTAACGTCTTGTCCATCATCTGTCGCTGTCCTAAAGTCCGTGTTGCACCGTTCTTTACGTCTTGCTATTAAAATTTAAGGTCCGTCCGTAGCAAAGATAATGTATGCCCGAACGTGTTGATGTGGCAGGCGCTTCAACGCTACAAAAAGAGAACATGTATATTGCTTGCCTAGGCAAGTAGCCACTATCTTTACGCTGCTAGTGTGGCGCTTTCGTCAATCGTTACAGTGCTCGTAAGAGTGCTGGGTCATGATCCAACTTGTGTAAGTCTTTGCTTGAATTGGTA